TCGACCATGCAACCGTGAGGTCACCTCTCTTGCCTTTGGAAGACGGTGCGGAGACGGAAATCCATGCTGCTGTGTCATCTGCAGCCCTGGCGCGCGTAAAGAGACTGCAGTGACCGGTGGAAATCAGAGACATGTCAACGGCTAGAGATGTTGTGCGACTCGAACAGATGACAATACAACCACTTCTTAGATTCAAGCCGATGTTTACGCGATTGGATGCCTCATGCACCCTGCGAGAGTGAAGCTCACCTCCCTGTCCCGCGATGCCACGACGAGGAGAGAATGAAAAGCGATTTTCCTGTCCGCATGGTGACCAAAGACTAGTGCGTAGACAATTCAATGATTCGAGATCTAGATTCCTGGGGGCCAAGCCACCGACGGAGACGGTGTGCTCAGCCCGCTGTTAGCCTGCTGTTAGACCACTCGGGACTGAGACATCCTCCTTAGTTCTCTGCACATCATTTCCGTCGCTTCAACCCGTCAAAGACTTCGTGCATGAGACCCGAACCCAGGAAGCCGGTAATGATGGTCATTGACACGCCACTTTTGCAGGTGCTCGTCGCAATCGCCAGAATCATGCATACCGAATGCATTTCCCAGCCCTTGATTCCGTGCATCTAGCTTGAAGCCAAGTCTCGGGAAAGATCTAGTTGCATGCTCCAACAGTGCAGTCACAGCTCCAGTCGCGGGCTCTCGCCTCGGAAAATGAGTCGAGCCCACGAAGCCTCTTGTGGCGAAACACTAAGCCAGGAGCAGCTTGCATGGTGGCTGCCGATAGCACGAGAGGAGCACATGTCGGGGGTGCAGCGGGCGTCGCCAGTCCTTTAGCACGTTGAGTTTCTCCTTTGATGCCATTGAACACACGCAAGACAGGTCTGGCAGATCAGAAATTTTGCAGCCCACTACTTTAGAACACATGGGGCCCTCCTCATCCATCCTCTTGCCTCAAGGGCCTGCTTCCATTCAACCCTCACTCATCCAAAGCAACAATGGACGGAATTCGTTTGGTGCCAGACATCTCCTGGGCAGGCGTTTCGTGGCCCCAGCTCCTTGGCGTCGGGTTCGCATTGTGGCTGCTCTATGGAGGCTTGCTTGCCATCTACCGCGTCACGCTCCACCCGCTGGCCAAGTTTCCCGGACCGAAGCTTGCCGGAGCAACATTTTGGTACGAAGTATGGTACGATGTGGTGGTTTGGGGCCGCTTCACTCATGAGATCAAGCGAATGCACGAGATCTATGGTATGAGGTTTCGCTGGTGACGTGGGGAGCTTGGCTAACGAAACTGTCTAGGTCCCATCGTTCGAATCAACCCTGACGAGGTGCATTGCAATGACCCAGAGTTCGTGGAAGCCATCTATGCGAATGGCGCGAAGAAGCGCAACAAGTCAGAGATGTTTGTCGCTGGTTTCGCCAATGAGTGAGTTGGTCTTGAACCCCGTTTGGGAGCATGTCCCCTGCTAGATGAAAATAAGGCATGCTAACGTCTGGCCTCAAGTCTGAGAAACGTACGCAGCCACTGAACGTCAACTTGAGAACTAGCTTCTAACATGTAAGATAGGGAGGCTTCGGAACCGTAGACCACGCGCATCACAAGCTCCGACGAGCAGCGGCCAGTAAATACTTCTCGCGAACCCAGATTCAGAAGCTAGAGTGGGTGATTCACCAACATGCCCAGCGTTTGGCGGACAAACTCCTTGCCTATCGAGGACAAGGTCCATTCGATGGCGCCTCCGCATACAGCTGCTATACTGCCGACATCGTCAGCGATTACTGTTTTGGCGAGGGGCTCGGGTTTCTTCAGCAGCCCACGTGGGAACCGAACTTCAAAGAAGCTGTTTACACCATGTTTCATTTGATTCACATCATGAGACACTTCCCATGGACGACGAGACTGATGGAGATGATTCCTGTGTAAGCAAACGAACACCCAGGAGTGGTGGATGGGTTCGAGTGGTTGAAAGACCGTGACTGACTGACGAGAAATAGTTGGGTGATCAAGCCGCTCTCTGCCAAGATTGGGCTCCTCATGGAAACGGTCAAGATCAAGCTCCCAGAGCTGGTTAGGCAAACGAAAGCAAGGCACGAAAACGGCATCAAAAGAGATCGCGTGACAGTGCTGCACTCGTTGCTCGAGTCGGATCTGCCACCGGAAGAACTCACTGTCGAACGACTAGCCGGAGAAGCAAATGTGTTCCTTTCTGCAGGAACCGAGACAACGGCATCGGCTCTTACTATATGCACGTATCATCTGCTCAGAAATCCTGACGCCGTCACCAAGATCAGGGCGGAGCTTGCAACCGTGAATGCCGACCCCAAGGAGCTTCCCAGCTGGGCGACACTTGAAGGCCTCCCACAATTCAACGCTGTCCTGATGGAATCTCTCCGGCTGATGTACGGGTCGCCATCAAGACTGCCAAGAGTCGCACCCGATGAAGACGTGGTGTACCAAGGCACGTGGACACCTCCGGGCGGGTCGGCGCCGGTCGACGTTTCTCACGTCATTCCGCGAGGCTACGCGTACGGCATGTCGGCGTATATCATGCACACGGATGAGCGGCTCTTTCCGGAGCCCTCCAAGTTCCTCCCGGAGAGGTGGCTCGACGAGAATGGCCAGCGAAAGAAGGGGCTGGAGCGGTTCCTGCTTACGTTCTCCAAAGGAAGTCGGCAATGCCTGGGAATGCAGTAAGTTTTCCCCGAGGTCATGGACCGCATGATCCGAAGTTTTCACACATGGATGTCTGAGCTCCTGCTGACCAATGCACGCTTTGATTCTAGGCTGGCGTACTGCGAGCTTCATGTCGCGGTCGCGGCGGTGGTGTTGCGCGCGCTGCCGTACATGCGACTGTACGAGACGACAGACGTTGACGTGGAGTATGATTTCGACCTTGCTGTCTCAATGCCGAAGAAGGGGAGCAAGGGTGTCAGACTGGAGATGATTTGATGACCACGTAGCATGCGGCGCTTACTGGCCAGAGCTCCTTTAAGCTTTGGTTCATCTATTTCGGATGGAAAGGTGTGAGTTTGGATGAGATGGGGGGGGGGGGGGGGGTCTACTGCGGCTTGCTGGGCACTGTATGGAAGCAGCTCGTGGGCGACTCTTCGTGTTCAGCCCTACCCTATCTATGTTTTGTAATGACAAGCAATTCTTCTAAGCTGACATGACGATGATCAACGTTTGACGTGGCAGAGCCAAGAGACGGAGCCAGAGTGACGGGACTGATGGATGACTCTCTGTTGGGAAGACTGAGAACAGAAACCTGACACCCAGAGAACAAAGCGAGGGAGTGAGTGAGTGAGTGAGTGAGAGAGTGAGAGAGTGAGAGAGTGAGAGAGTGAGAGAGTGAGAGAGTGAGAGAGTGAGAGAGTGAGAGAGTGAGAGAGTGAGAGAGTGAGAGAGTGAGAGAGTGAGAGAGTGAGAGAGTGAGTGAAAGAAGCGCCGAGGGCATCCGTGCGGGTGTTAGCGCCGTACTGTGTCTCCCGCCCAAAATACAGCAGCCCCACACGGTCCCGAGCGCCGCAGTGACCCGGCGCCGACTCCCCCCACCCAGCCAGGTCCCGATTAGTGCAAAATACGCGGCGAACGGGCTTTCCCAGCGCCGGCGCCATCTATCCATCGATGTTGGTCCAGTCTAAGAAGATGCTATGTCCCATAGAACCTAGCAGAAAAGGGACAGAATGCTCCCGTTCCAATATGGGTTACTACCGCGCGCGAGCATTACCAATGCGCCGCCCAACCCCCCTGACTAAGGCTCTCTCGCGCTCTTGTTGAAAGCCATCAGGCTCTGTGTCTGGCAGTCTGCCCCTCCCCTGGTTAATGATCTGCTCCCCTAATGCACCGGCGGCATGGGTCTAGACTCGATCCGACTTGGAGAGTCGCACAGAGGGGAGAGACCGGTAAATGGCCTGTGAACACTGAACACTCGACACGGGACATCTCCCGCTGCTTGGCACGGTACGGCGGGTGCGCGCACCTTGATCGAATTACTTACTCACTTGCTAATTGGATATCGATGGCCTCATCCGGCTCATCCCAGCACCTCGTCGTTCTTCTCAGATGACTCCATCCGCGGGTCTCCATACAAACTCTTTTTTTGCAAGAATAAGCTTAGCATGGAGCCACTCCGTCTCCATCTTTCCAGGTTGCCCTCTTCCCTCGACCTTCACGCACCGCGCGCGCTACGCTAATGCCGTGGCACCCGCAGCGCCGTTGCCTTGACTCGGCCAGTCGGACCCCTGCCGCACCAGCGCCAGAGGCACCAAAAGGACACCAAAAGACACCAAAGGCACCCCCATCCCTGTCCAAATGCCGTCCCCAATGGGATGCGGATTCGCGATGCTTTTTCCCAACGCGTGGCTCCGAATCTGACCTCTGAAATCCTGCCCGTGGTCTGACCACTGTCCCCCGAAAAGCAAAATGCCTGGTGACTAAATCAATTTCGCTTGTCCCGCCATAGCTGAATAATCCGAGCGCTCCCTCGTCTGAAACATTGGATTGCTGGTCCATGAAGGGTCCAGAAAGGAAAAGCCCGAACCGCAATGCGTGTCCCCGTCACTGTTCGGCCGAAGTCTCTTCCTTCACATTGGGGCAGGTCGGTGGTGGTACATACCTGCCGCCCTCTTGCTTGCTTCATCTGTGCTTACATGGGTTACAGTCCTGGACTTCTACGAGGCGCCAGCTAGTTAATCCTCTGCCTTTGTGTCGATAAAAACATTCATTATCCCCTCCGTTCCCTCCAAGCCCAGCTGCGCCCATCTCTCTTCGTACTTCCTTTGTTCTTCCCGCATCGTTTGGCGTTGTCATCTTCTCCATCGCCCTACCATCCGCACTCCCCCACGGCATCCCCGTTCCGCTCCTTAGCCTGCCGCCGATTAAATACCCCAACAAGCCGACGACTTTCATATCTCTCCCTTGAGGAACAGCATAACCTGCGTTCATCCCGCCAGACCAATTCGCTTCTTACCCTCTCAACAAACCTCACACTCTCCGTCCCGCCAACAAAATGGTCAAGCAGGTCGTCATCCTGGGCGCTGGCTACGCCGGCCTCGGTGTCGCCCACAAGCTGCTCAAGTACACGCAGCCCAAGGTCAAGGACCTCAAGGTTATCCTCGTCTCCCCCTCGACCCACCTTTACTGGAACTGCGCCGCCGTCCGCGGCCTCATCCCTGGCGAGTTCTCCGACGACACCCTCTTCAACCAGATCAAGCCCGGCTTCGACAAGTACCCCCAGGACGCCTTCGAGTTCGTCCTCGGCAAGGCCACCAGCTTCGACCCCTCCACCAACACCGTCCAGGTCGAGACCAACGAGGGCCTCAAGTCAATTGAGTTTGCCGAGCTCGTCATCGCCACCGGCTCCTCCCTCGCCAGCGGCCTGCCCTTCAAGACCGTCGGCACCCACGAGGAGACCTTGACTGCCTGGCACAACCTGCAGTCCGAGGTCAAGGCCGCCAACTCCATCATCGTCTCCGGCGCCGGCGCGACCGGTGTCGAGACCGCCGGCGAGCTCGGCCACGCCTACGGCTCCACCAAGCAGATCACCCTCATCGTTGAGGGCGACGCGCCCCTCCCCGGCCTCCTCCCCAAGCTCGGCAAGATCGCCGCCACCAGCCTCGCCTCGCTCAAGGTGAAGCTCGTCACCAACGCAAAGGTCACCGAGGCCGACACCTCCGGCTCCCTCAAGTCCATCAAGCTCTCCAACGGCGAGACCCTCACCGCGGACCTGTACCTGCCCCTCTTCGGCGTCCGCCCCAACACATCCTTTATCCCGGAGAACCTGCTTGACGATAAGGGCAACCTGAAGCTCAAGCACGACCTGCGCGTCGAGGGCCTCAGGAACGTCTGGTGTGCCGGTGACGCGGGCAACCTCGAGGCCAAGCAGCTCATGCGCGCCGAGGGCCAGGCGCTGCACCTCGCCGACAACCTCGATGCCGTCCTCACCGGCCAGGAGGCCAAGGTCAAGGACCTGAAGCTGACGACGAAGCCCCAGATCTTTGTCACGATCGGCAAGAAGAAGGCGACTGGTCAGTTCAACACGATGAAGCTGCCCGGCTTCATCGTCAGCGCGGCGAAGGCCAAGACCTTCTTCACTGAGAAGGGCCCGGGTCTGGTCGCCGGCAAGAACATTGCCAGGGCGTCGATCTAAGGGGCCGATTGACATGGATGATGATGGTCAGATTGAGATGTTTATGCTTCAGCTTTGATATCCCGGGACGCGTATTGTCATTGGCTACTCACACATGTGAGCATACGAGTTGTAATTACTTATTGGACCTATACCCTAATCACAGAAGACGTATAATGTTCGTGAGATGAGTTCTATTGTGCAGCAATTATTTGTGATGCGTGAATTTGAGAGCTTTGTTTTGCTAAATGAGATGAGCGTCGACGTTCTATTGTTAGCCGTAAGTAAGTGAGTTGTATGGAGTTTATATGTAAACGCTCACATGCCGATTTTCTCTGAACCTCTGTCCTCATGATCAATCATCTCACAGACTCAGAATCTAGAATTTGCCCTCCTCTCTCGTCCATGATCAGCTTAAAACCTAATTGGAAGGTCCAGCGGTAAGACGGCGAGCGGGCCTCACCGCTGTGAAACCCTATCATCATCGTACATATAGACTGTATCGGAAGCCCGGGACCTGTCTTAATCACCGTCTAGCCAGCACAATACTGACTCTTGCTCCTCAGCCAGGCACCCCACTTCCACATGACCACCGGCACAATGATGCCCATCACAAGAACGATCCCAGATAGAAGCGCATTCCCCCATGCTATGCCCAGCGCATCATACAGCTTCGGTGCGAACAGAGGAAAACTGAAGCCAGCCATCGTTCTCACGAATGCGGCTGCTCCAGCAGCGCTCGCAGCATACCTTTCATACGAATCAATAACGTATGTCTGTACACACTGAAAAGATAGAATGAGCCCCGCCGCCAGAATTGCGGCACCGATATTTGGGACGATCCAGTGGATTTTGAAGTGTGCCGCTATGCCATATAGAAGAAGACCAATGGGCGTGACTATGGCTGTCGGGAACATAAGAGGTATCCTGAATTCCGGAAGGCCAGTGTCGTTATTTCTGGTTTTGAGCGTCCGGTAAACCTCGACGGCATCAGTGTGGATCTTTGAACTGTATAAGGAAAGCTAACATACGTTGTCTATAAGAGGTCCCGAAACTTGAAGTCCGATGACGAAGCCGACGCCGAGTGAAATGTAATTGAGACTTGCCGGACCAGGTTCCTGGTCGTACTGCTCGCTCCACACAAGTGGGAATGATGCGAGGCTTGAAGCAGATCAGCGATTGACTTCTTTCAGCATTTAGGTTGATGGCCCAAGCTTACACGAGATACATCAATCCGTAAAGGTAAGCTCTGTACAGCGCCGTGATCTGCAATGCTGGCTGCGTGAAGAGCATTCTGAACGGCCTGACCAAATTCTTTCCCAGTGTCTGGCCAAAAGTCCTGTCTGGCCGTTCATATTCGGTGCGAAGATTCTTGTTGCCGGTGAGATTGCGCAATTTCTTTGCTTTCACCGCCAGGATCTTAGGTGCGTATGTCTCTGAGAGGAAGAGAAATGCGAGGATTTGGACGACTGCATCGGCGATCGAGACTGTCCAAAAGATCCAGCGCCACGACATGTATTGTGTGAGATATCCAGCAGCTTCAAAGTGTTATTTGAGATATTTGCTGCATGTGTGATGGTGTGGAACTTACCGATTGGTCCAACCGCTGGGCCCAGAAAAGGGGCAAGACTGTATATGGCTGTCGCCGTACCTCTCTCTTCTGCTCTAAAGCAGTCACTCAGTACACCACCACCAAGCTGGTGCTCACATCAGCATGTGCTGCCTCTCAAGGAAAAGAAAACAGGAAAATGTGCTTACAGCTTGGGGTGCACTCCCGCCCAGACCGCTTAGAAATCGAAATGCGAGCATTTGTTCCTTTGACGTGGAGAAACCACAAACGGTGTTGAAGATGAGATAGAACATGTTGGCTGACTGAAGCACGACAACTCGGCCGTACATCTCTGATAGCGGCGCCAGAACAAAGGGGCCGACCGCGTAGGCGAGGAGGAAGATGGACATCAAGAGATAGGTCTCAATGTCTGACTCGACGTTGAGATCATCAGAAAGAGTATCAAGTGCTGGCGCAAGCATTGTCGAGGACACCGGTGATATGAAAGTGAAGCAGGAAACTAAGATGGTGGCTGTCCATTTCTTGTGCTTGGGCCAGTTCTTGGGGTTCATTGGGTCCGACGGCCCAGACCATGTTACCTGTTGTTCGATTAGCGTTTAGTGTGAGGAGGAACAGGGTGCATCCTACCAGGTCTGGATCCTCGGGATCATCAGAATGATTGCCCTGTTCATGACTAAACTTTTCTGGTCGGGGTATCATTGATGGGTCGTTTTGTGTATTGTCATGGGAAAGCAAGTGAGAACGGTCTGTTGGGCCAGGGGTCTCCAGAATAATATCCGAATGTTTGTTTACGTGATTTTGTCGAGAGAATGAGCCGTCTGGGTCTTGCAGCCATGGGAATTTGTATACGGTTCGTTCGTACTCTGAGAAAGAAGGGAGTCCCGGGCTCCATCCGCGCCACAGGCTGGACCGAGACCGGGTCAGGGTTCTCTGGAGGCTCGGGGCCATCTCTGGATCTGAGACTGGCATGTGAGGAATGAACTGATAAGTGTGAGATTGAGACATGTTTGCGGAAGCGACTGTCAAAGCGAGTGTATGGAAATACGATCAATGAAAAAAGTGACGATCACAACGCTATTCTGATCTTGATGGTTTCATGTGCGCTTGAACGTTCACTGGGATACAATAAAGTGTTTCTTTATACTAAAAACTGTCTTCGTGATATTTTACACTTGGCCAGGCAGAAGAGCATAGCCTCATGCACTTATGACGGCAGCGCCTCTGATGATGAGTATGGCTGGGTCGGAGACCGAAAACAATCAGCTCATTCCGGATTTCGTTTCCCTGTACTGAGGCCTAGGGTCAATATCCCTAGATCCAGCAGATCAGCTGCCAAGGGGAGAAGGATATGACTAGTATGGGGCAAGCTGATGTCCTGCTGGGAAAGTCGGCCGAAGCTTTCTTGGCGAGCCGATCAGCGGAGTCGTGGACCGCTACGTCAACTGTGGCTGATGATGCACGTTGGAGTAACATTCTTCTAGACTCCGCCTGGGGCTGCATTTACACACGCTTGATTGAACCCTGGGAAAACACGTCGATAAAGTTTCAATCCTTATTTATAGCCCAGGAACGGGCTGTCTGATTGGAAGATACAGTTCGAGATGACACCTCAAGGGTTTGTTTCACCTGGTCGAGATACGAGATCTGGGCAAATCCTGATCGTGTGCTCACTCGTCGCCGAGAACAGGCTGTGATAGTCATTGTGCCAATGAAAGCAGTTTTTTCAACGCCCACGGTGATTTACAAGACAAGCTATCTAGCGCCTTTGAAGGCTGTGCTGGGTGCTACTTGCGTAGACGATGTTACACCATGATGCTGTTGACAGCTCAGGAACGGTCCAGTCGGCAGCCCATCGAGGCAACGGACACGTGCAGGGCTGAAGACATCACAGTCCCTGAACATCTCGCGTGAGAAATATCACGCGATCAAATGTCTGTTTGCAAAATAGCAACCGGCGAAGCATCTCATAGCCACTCCGCGGCAGCTGCGCGCGGCAGATTGGGTTTCTTGATTCTTTTGACGGGGGATGAGGCCTCAACGCTTGGGAATTGGTCACACGGCAAATGCAGAGGATAGAGACAGAGAGGGCGCGTTGATTAGCACCATTCGATCTAGGGTTTCTGTTCCGAAGCAGTATAAGAAGGTTCGCAAGGACGGAGCATTATTTCGATAAACCAGGTCATACAAGTCTTCATTCACCATAACACTTACCCAATCATATTTCACTCGCTTCTCAACATTCGCTTCATCGTGTTCAAGTTATAATAACACGAACACTTATTACCATCATTTAACATCACAACCTACCAAACACATCCACATGGATTCTTCGACGCCCCAGGGAATGAGAATTCTCGTCTGTCCGTCTGGTTTCAAGGGAAGCCTTCAGCCAGAGGTTGCCGCTGATTGCATCGAGGCTGGCATTCTCTCTGTAATGCCAGATGCTTCTGTGCGCAAGGTTCCCCTGGTTGACGGAGGCGAGGGGTTCACTAGTGCCCTTGTGTCCGCGACTGGTGGCACATTGCATCCAGTCGTTGTCACCGGCCCCGTCGGCGCTCCGATTGCGTCTTTCTTTGGCATATTGGGAAGCAAAAGCACCGATGAGCCAAAGACAGCTGTCATCGAAATGGCTGCTGCGGCCGGCTTAAGCCTTGTCCCAACCCATCTTCGCAACCCCGGCGTTACTACCACGTTTGGAGTGGGCGAGCTTCTGACAGCTGCAGCCGGAGCTGGTGCAAAGAAGATCATTGTTGGCTGCGGCGACTCTGGCACTTGCGACGGGGGCGCGGGAATGCTTCAGGCTCTTGGCGCTCGACTGATTGATCAAGACGGGCTTACGCTCCCTATCACCGCAGGGGGCGAGAGCCTGCTGCGTTTGGCAAATATCGATCTTGGCGGAATCGACAAGCGCATCAAAGATGTCGACATCGAGGTTGCGGTCAACTGGAACAATGTTCTCAGTGGTCCCGATGGTGTTGCTAGGGTTTTTGGCAAGCAGAAGGGGTCGAGCGCCGAGCAGACAGTACGCCTTTCAGCAGCTATGGAGGTCCTCTCTGTAGTTGCTGGACGGCTTCTCTGCGACAGTAATGTGGGCACCTCGCCCGGCGGAGGAGCATCTGGAGGGCTGGGCACCGGTTTGCGGCTGGTGGGCGCCAAGCTTCGGCCAAGGTATGAGGTGGTGGCGGAGTATGTCGACTTTGAAGGGCTGTTTACGGACTGCGACCTGGTCCTCACGGCCGAAGGAGGCATCGATGACCAGACACCGAGGGGGAAAATTCCGGGTGAGATTGGGACGCGGGCTAAGAAGCATGGCCTGCCGGTGGTTGCTATTGCTGGGACCATCGGACCAGGGGCTCGGGTCAACTACGACGTCGGAATCGATGCTTACACGTGTATCCTGCAACGACCAACCACGCTGGACGAGGCCATTGTGGAGGCGGAGAAACTGACG